ATATGGCTTGTTTATGTACCTCCTGGGCTGCACCCTGTGACCAGATTTACATTTGAAAACATTCAGCACCAGCGTTAAGTTGAAAAACTGTCTTATGAAAAGGACCCTATTAGCATTCATAATAGACCCCCTTTTCATTATGATTCATGTTTGCAAATGTTACCCTTATATGATTTTTTTTTTTTTTTAGTTTTGGAGACAAAGTGAATCAAAATCATCCCACTATAACTTCAAGGAATTTATATAAAAAAGTTGATGTTTGTTCTGAAAAAAAAATGTATCATTTATCTCTCTAAAAGTTATTCCAAGTAAAACTTCCTATGTGATGGATGGATGGATGGACGGATGGATGGACGGGTGTTTATTTTTATAGCATTGGTGATTCTCTTGATTTCACTGCAAGTCTCGTAATACATGATGTTTCAAGCAAAGCTCCCAGTCTTGAAGATTAGGTAGGAATCTCAGTTTTGATTTAAAAACAAAAGGGATTTTCCAGCTCCCTTGGTTTCAGAGGAAAGCTTTAAAGTGTGACCCAGCTGTACCCTAAAGGCAAATAAAAAGAGCCCACTTAAAAAAAATCTCATAATTTTTAAGCTGATCTCATGATTTGGGGGGGGCCTGACTCATTTGAATGCTTGGGGCAGGTGATAATGTTAAGACTTTGACTCCCGTCTATGGTTTCTGTATTATATTGGTCATATTTTAGCACCTGTTATACAGAAAAATAAAACAATGAATTACAATATTTCTGTCAGCAATAATTCTATGCTTTTCCTTTATGTCCTGTACTGTAGTCATATATTTCAAGCATAACAACTGACAATGGATCCAAGTGCAATATATTTGCTCATCATAAAATCGCCAGCAGTTTCAGCCAAAATGTTGTTCCTTAGCACAGTTATCCACCCAAGGGTTCAGCTCTTGCTTCAACTTTTTTTGCTCCTTTATAAGATGGGGACAGTGTTTTCTTGCGTCATTTATTTAGCAGTTAAGCGATTATACAGTGACGAAGGCAGTAACCATTGCACCAGACAGTGCCACGGACTCAGCTCCAAGAGGTCTGTGTGCCCATGGAGGTTTCAACCAAGGCAATACCTGAAGGTGGGCAATTTTGGGTCCAGGGCACTCGTTACCCCCTTCATTATCAATGATTAAGCGAATCCTCTACCCTGCCAACTCCCAGACCCAACCACGCCTGTTCCCCAGTAGCTTTCATCTCCTCCCTAGCCTGTGGCACAGCTGTACGTGCTGAGGTTTACCATCAGGCTCTCTTCAATTTAGTGTGCCATGTTCTTAGCTCTGCCAATCTTTATGACCCAAGATAGTTTCATCATTTTAAAAGGGGGCAATTTATAGCCTGAGGGTGTGCATCAGCTGATTTGGGATAACCGTTTCATCTGTCTGCTCCTAACTTGCTGTAAGTAAAGTTAAACCACAGTAGCTTACCACCGAATGAAACCAGAGGTAAATTATTGAGGTTTGGGTTCCATTTACTGTGCCAGCATGCCATTTTCTGCACCATGTAGTGTGTACTTGGTGCAGACAGATGGAACAGGTATACTGAATTCAGCTGCACGATGGTACACCTCTCCTGTTGTCCCATGAAGTTGACTTACATAAGAATAAGGAACTAATAGGGCATCCAGGTTGTAGCTATATTGGTCCAGACAAAAAGGCAATCAGGACTCGTAGTAGAGGTGATATCTTTTGTTAGAGCAAGATTTTTACAAAAAAAAATTCTTTAATTGCAAGCACCCTTCATCAGGCATTGGAGAAAAGATTGTAAAAGTTCTCCTGGGTAGAAATGAAAGTTCATATTTCATAGGATTTCATAGAGGAGACAATAGATGGCAAACTCCTCTGGGCAGACAGTTCATAGCTGGTATGAAGCCTCTCGCCTCCTATGAGGATCTGTGATAGTGCAAATTACCCTGAAATAAAGGCAGGAGCAGGAGCTCAGGTTTCAGGTGGTCTTAATTAATTCCTTAATTAATTTAAGGAATTAATAGGGCATTTATGAGAGTATTTTCTCACCTCCAGGTAGTAAGGTGTCTTGATTTAAACAGTTAAGTGCATTTCAAGAAGAAACAGGTTGGGGTGATGTGATGGAATTATATAAAGAAGCTATGGTTCAATCAACCAATCCATCAACCTGCATTAAGAGAGTTAGACCCACATGCAGTAAAGCAATACAGATAATCTAGTCTACCAAGTAAAAGCCCATGGAGCTAATACAAATGCATATATAGATCCGTCAAGTGCACATGCACATGTGCACATGCACTCAAATTATTGCCACTAATCATGCATTATTCACTATAATGATTAATTGTGCATACAACTGTTTGACTTGTGAGGTAGAAGCTATAATCCTTATCCAGTAAAGACCCCAGGTTGTGAGGAGCTGCATATAAGCATAAGAAAAGCTTCTGATCTGTTTTCCAAAGGACCAAATCACAGATGACCAAACCCCTTTGGACAAAGAAATGGGGATTGGACAGATACTCCTTCAGGCCCCCTTGAAAATCCCAGCCTTCCTGGATACAATAGAGGTGCAACTGAGGCACTGAGAGATTAAATGATTTACTTAGGGTCATACAGCATTTGCCAGAGAGTCTGTGGCTCTCAGATTGGCCTTCTTAGCCATCAACAGACTCATTTACAACCCTTTACTTGGTCCATGGGAGCAATCATCCTCACCCGTGAGGGACTGCCACTACCAACAGTATGTCTGCTGTAGATATAGGACTTGAACCCAGATTTCCAGAAACTCAGCCGAGCACCTTAATTGCTAGATCATCCTACCCTTCAGTGGAAACAGAAGAAAGTGGACATCTGTTAAAACAGTTTTATTCCATGCCAGCGATGTATTTGGTAGCTGTGCGGGTCTGAGACACATGCAAAAATCTTAGACCAACTAAGAAATCACAAAAAATGAAGTTTATGTCCTAACTATGGGGACTTTTTACCATCTTTAATTTTCTCTGAGCCTGATGAAGGGCATGTGAGCCCCAAAGCTTGCAGAAAAAGACAATTGTTTTGCGATTTCTTAGTTGGTCCAATAAAAGGTGTCATCGCTGAACCAAGAGTTCTAGATTTTTGCTATTCTGTGTCAAAAACTTCTTGGAATTAATTCTGGAAGATGTCTCTCCGCCAATTTGTTTAAAAAAACCAAAAGATCATGCCATGAAAGAAAGTTTTGAGAAACTAATGACAAAGGTCAAATGAAAATCAGCAATCATGGAAAATGAGTAGACATGCTATAGGCAGAATGAAACCTATGCTAAGTATCACCTCCAACTGGCAAATTGCTTATGTAAGGGACAACTTTATTGTCTCTCCCAAGATCCCATTATAATTTTCTTTGACAAGTAGTTAAAAGTTAACAGGCAACCATTTTTTGCAGGTCTATTGGGTGGTTGCCTCAGGCAGATTTTATTATGCTGGGATGTATGAAAAACATCAGGACAAAATGAGAGATTTTCTTACTTTGCACTTGTGGTGTGCAAGTCAGAAACAGAGTTGGAATGGGGAGTGTGTTGCATATGTGAAGTCACAGTTTCAAGCAGCCCTATAATTCTTCTCTCCGTATGCACATTTAGCTCCTGTTAATGTCGATAGGAGTTACGTGCGTGCCACAGCAGAAGAATAGATCCATAAGTAAAGACCCACTCATGGCTATGGGCATATGTTTCCAGATATCGTCATGCCACAGGTGCGTCATGTGGCACTAGACCAGGGACCAAATGCTCCCCCTGCCAGAGAAATCTCACAGATGCTGCTTTTTTATTTGTCTTCTTAGGCAAAAATGTGTCAGACATTTTCTGACACCAGTGAAGGACCCCTGAAGATTGCAAAATCCTTTTTAACCCTTGTGGGGTCACTGTATATTCTGCCTTTGTTTGGGCAAATATTTCAGTGGTCCACAGGACTCAGGGTACCTGTCATCCTGCATCTCAGGGTCGCAAAGTGTCCTAGAAACATAAGGGGGAAATTCATCTGTGGTACAAAGGACCTGCACAAGATGTTTCTTACCACAAGCAAAGAGTGTCAGCACAGCGAAAGCACGAGGGTGGCTGTGCACCCCTTAGCCATCAGGGGAAGGGTGCCTGAATCCATCCCCTACACACAGAACGTTGTGACACATTAACACTGCTGTCATGTACGTTGGGACTGTACACTGCTGGAAACTACCCCAGGATCTGCAGCAAAGAGATGACCAGCTGGGCACTTATGGCAGAAGGCACTAATTATATTGCCTCATGATTAGGTGGCAGGGAGCAGGCAGTAGGATGTTTGCACTGAGACAATGATGACACCTGTGAATGTATAATACTTACATCATTTACCCTATTGTATATTTACTGCTGTTTCCCCAGGGTGATGCTACACTCGATTCAATTAAGTAACACTGGGGTAGGTAGGAAAATAAATTGTGTCCTCTCATCTTCTACAGTAAATATAGGAGTAAAGACAGGTCACACTGGTATAAACGTGTCATGTGTCCTGGCTCCAAAACCAGGCACTAAGCCAGAAGGCAGACCCTAGGATCTGTGGGTACCTATACACGTGCTCAGGGGTGGGGATGGGGTGTTTTAATTACAGCTGTTCCTGGAGAGCCCCTGCATGTTTAAAAATGGCAAAGGGATGCTTTAACTAAAGCTCATTCAATGCCCCAGTGGCCATGTTTAAACCCACAGGGCGCGTCCACACAAGCACGCGCATACGTCTTGCAGCATCTCAAAGCCCTTTGCCTGATGAGCCTATAGGTTGGATAAGCAACTGTAGCCAGGTGCTGCTCTGTAAACACAGGTGCCTATACACTTCTTTTGAGATGTTCGAATTAGACGTGTTAGAGCATACTGGATTAACTGGAGCACCCTAGCATTGCTGCAGCATCATGTGCGTAAGCCTCTGTGAGTGCATCCACACATGCAAGCACGTGCGCTTGCAGCAGCTCAAACAGAAGCAGTGCAAATTTGAGCCAGGGCTTTTTGCCTCAGCGCACGTCCCCGGACATGCACTTTGGTGTGGGGCAAGTTGTGCCACTTGGGGCAAAATAACCCTGCCTGGCTCCTCCTGGATCTGCAGCCAGGGGGAGCTAGAGCCTGGGGCCAGCACCTGTGCTGTCCCCAGCAGTATAAAAAGCTGCCCTGTCAAGTAGCTCAGGGCTACTAGTTCTCAGGAGCTTCTGGGGCCCGGCCAATTGGTACCGGGGGACATTACTCCTTGTGCCAGCTGGACTGCTGAAGCAGCCCTGAGAGTTCCCTGCACCCCCCCACAGTGGGGACTGCTGCCTGGCTGTGAACTGCTGCACACCCACCAGACCTGGATGGGGACTGCACAGCCATTAGAGGCATCTGCCCCTCTGGGCCAGCTGCCACTGAGCTGTGGCTGCAGGGTTGGCCTCTGTGTGGCACTACTGCCATGTGTGCCCCCTGCCTGGCCATCTGGGCAGCTATCACCCAGAAGATATTCTGGGTGTGGTGGCCTGCTATGAACTGTGAAAGCATGTCCTCCTGGCCCCAGCTGGCCAGGATGTCAGCCACCTCCAGCTGGGCGCAAGATGCCAGCTCTGAACAGGCTCCTCTGCCTGGGTCCTGCCACTGGCCTCCCTAGCAGGAATTCTGGTGTTCTGTATTTGAAAAGTGAAAAATCCCTGATAAAAAAATCCAAAAGTCACTCTTCAAAATATCCCGAAATCCATGTTCCTCCACAATTAAAACAAAAAGCCACTATATATATAGAGAGAGAGAGTAAGAGACAGAGAGGCAGTGATCAACTGGGCAATGTTTTTTTGATATATCTACAGTGTTAAAGCAATTTGGAAGCCTACCAGTGTCTCCATCATCATAATATAATAAATTCTAAATACCTATATGTTTTGCTGTTTGCCTTTGGTTTTCCTACCCTAGAGCAATTAGAGCGCCCTGTGACCCTCTTCACTAACCAGGATGTGGAGACAGCTGCCCCTGCAGCAACAGCTCCTGGCAGCAGGTCTCATCCTGTCTGGCAGCTGGGCATGCAGGGTGTGTGCTGAGGGGATGTGGAGTTTGCAGGAAGGAGATGGGAACAGGGGTGGAGGGATATGGGTGGCACTGGAGGGATGTGGGGGGCCATGGGTTGTGTGGGTAGGTGTGGGTGGATTGTGCAGTGGGGCTGCTCTGGCGGGGTGGGTCCCCTTCCCTCCGCAGGGTGAAGCCTTCTGCACAGCTCACAGACTGCCCCCCACAGGGCTACAGCCCTCTCACAGGGGCCACAACCCCCCACAGGAGCTACAGCTCCGCAGCCTCAGCCTTCCAGCACTTACAAAAACAAAAAAAGGCTCACACTCACCAGCAGTAGCAGGGGTTGTGGGGGCTGTGGGGCCATCTGGCAGAGCCCCCCCACGCAGCACAGGGCAATGGGGGGGAACGGGGCTCCCTGGTCAGCCCCCGACCTGGCCACATCCTGCCCCACACCTGATGCCCCCCCACCCAGCCCCAGCAGCCCAGGACTCAAAAAAAAAAAAAAAAAAGCCCAC